AAAAAAAACAACAAAAAAGAAAAAAAAACCCAACAACTCAAAACAAAAACAATGAGATCAGTCAAAACAAAACAACTAAACTTTTTTACACGCTATGAAAGATGTGTGAAGTACACTTTTAATTAATACGTGAAAACACTTGAATGCACTTCACATCTTAGATATTATATTCTCTTTCAGACTGAATCTTTATTTGTAGATCTTAATCCTGTTTCTTGACTTCATGTCGCTGAAAACGAACGTCATCAAACCAGGACCTGCTGGCAAGGATAAGTTCTCATCAAACATTTCAAACACAGGTGACGTCAGATAAGAATATTAATTGACCAAAAACCTCAGGCATTTTAAAATGCAAACTTAAGCTAGATATCCTTGATTTGTAAAGCGCGTAAATGCTTTCAATTTTCTTTAAAGGAAAAGAAGGAAAAGGATGTTAATACTAGTAAGTGTGCCCTTTCTAATGTTCACCTTTTCATTTGTATAGTAGGCCTAATTATTTTTGTTTTACTTTCTGTTTGACGTCATGACATTGGTACTTCTTGTAATGCTTGCAATTGCAATCAATGTGCTCATGTACATTATATATACGTTTTAGTATTAAAAATACTTGTGATTAAAATTTATTAGATGACTTTTCCGACAGTATAAGAGAATCATGGAATCATTTGTGATAATATGAGAGATTAATTTCCTATTGAATCTTTGTTAAATTACGTACTGTGTGACGATCTTTCGTTCTTCTTCATGACACGTCTGGCGCTGGTTTATGTACAGAAGAAAATGCAACACGTACGACTGGTAAATATTCACATTCTTGTGAACAGGGCGATCTTGGTATAATACGTGGCAGAAAACTGGTTGTTTTCTAAACCGTACACTATGAATATTCCCTCTGGGATAATAAAATATTATCTTACATTTGAAAAAAATTGTGATGGCATAGTTGCCCAAAGCCACACCGGCACTTCCCCCCATATATAGATTTACAGCTTTTTGGAGCTGACATACGCGGCCATTTTCTTTTAAGATGAAGGGTACGTTATAGTTGAAAAAAAAAGGAGTCGTTCCGGTTTCTGGTTAGATTAAGGAAACATGAGACTCACAGTTCTTCTCCAAGTCTTATATTCTCACATGTTCCCATTCATGAATAAAATTATTGCTGTTAATGGTTTGTGAAATCGACTCGGACTAAGCTGATAATCTTGTTAGCATGGAAGACCTCTGGTAATACTTGCATGCCGCCCTAAAAAGACAAGGCGAGATTAATTATCCCTCTCTTTATAAATTGTTGCAAACGTTCGAAAATAGCAATATAATTAATATAAACATTATTCGACATTCTTGAGTATCTATAGTCGCTTTAGAATATCAACGTTCCTTTTGTGTTTGATAGGGGCGCCTAACACTTTTTTTCGCAGTCAATTCCAAGTTGATAAGAACAACCATATGTTAATCTTAGCATTCAATGCTTTATGCTTGTGTATAGACGCCCAAAGCAATTAAAATTGGACCGGTTGCCTTATCCTTTTTTCAGATATGCGACATTACTTTGAAAAGTAATCTTAACGTTTGTGTGATGGGATGCAGTTTGTATGCATATAATTACAGTGTAATTGTAAGTTGTGAAGAGAACCATTGATATAGTTTTGGATTTTTAACCTGGAGTATGTTAGTAAAACAAATGTGTGGTTCAGTGAGATTAATACGCGGCCTTGAGTAATACTCCATTTTCCTTTGTCTTTGGAAGTTCAGGTATGATGAAGAAGCAAAGTGAGTTATTTCTAGCTTTAGTGAGAGTTTACAGCACTTTTAACACATAACGGTCATATAAGTGCTGAGGCTGGAAGTGTTACTATATGTTAACTGTTAACATGCAAATAAAAGAAGGAGGAGAGATAAAGATGATGGATGTTTGATAGCAAAGGAAGAGCAAACCACCCACAACAGAGTACCCGTCGAAGTGAGGGCTTCTTTTCATGATGGTCGTTATATATTGTCTTAACCTGACAGTGGCAGCTGTGCTTAGGTCAGAAACGCTTTAAAAAAAATCTCATAATATTTCTGTCTTATTCAATTTGTGCCTTCTGTCATAGAAAGAGCTCTTATGCTACTGGGCCTGTAAATCATAATAAATATGTACCATAGCAAGCACTTTTTTTTCAACTTTAATCATGATCTAAGGGACATAACTGACCTGGTTTGATTCATAAAATGCAGAAATTCTTAACAATTCATTTATTCATTCTAAAAGCTACGCATGACCAAAAACGGAATCTTTCAGAGAGCAGAAGTGAGATAACTGTTACACCCCCCCCCCTTCCAAAATTAACAAAGGTGTAATTTATATCAACCCATCGCCCCTCGCCCCAAACCCACCCACTGCTTAAGCAATCCTACAATTGAGCTATTGGGTTTTCGCTTAAGTACTTACTCTTACATGTTAATATTTCCTGTGGCATATCGATGGCATTCTAAATCAGCGGAACTACAGATCATTATCTCTTTCGTGTACAAATTTGCACTTCAGAGTATCTTAGTTTTTAAAAATATTGGTACCTGGTTTATCTTGTAAATTAAACTGGTTTTTGATAGTTGGTAGGTACATTCCCCATACCAACTCTAGACGTCATATTATGTTAAGACTCCAATAATTACTTCGAGCCATTAATACCTGCTGACTGCACGAATTCGCAACGATTCACGTTGTGGACACATTTTAATATATTATTATTCCGTTAACATATATCATTATTCCGTCCAGTGAGTGAGTGAATGAATGTTGCCTTAAACTTAAACTATGGCTGTGCGAGAGATTAAATACGAATAAACTGTTTGAGTGACTGATTTCGGTTTTTAGTCTTGCTTTATAGAGTGGTGTATTTTGAGTTTGGTCACTTTTGATGGTCTCAAGCGCTTGTCTGTGATGTTGATAATTTTATAAAATAAGGAAAAGAAACAAAGAACGACGGTATCACAGAATCCACAGTCTTTGCAGACAAGAAATTTGCAAAAGTAAGTTGACGTTTGTTCTCTAACAATTGAAATTAAAAGCAGAGGAAATATCTGTACTTCAACAACTTGCTTGTATGCATTCAGCGATATGACATTAAATACATTTTGCTTGTCTTTCGTAAAATATTCAGAAAAAAATGGTGCCATGGTATGGTTCTTACGCCTCTATCAACACTACTAGGTTTTTTAAAGAGGCGGGACCTCCGAGATTAACGTCCGTCTCAGAAAGGACCGAGTCAAGTGGGAAATTCGTGCAAGATGTTTTTCCCAAGGACAGAAAGTCGGCCGAGCTGAGGAGGCTCGAACCCCTGAACGTGCAATCTCACGATTACGAGTCCAGTAGCCTAACCACTAGGATACAGACGCCACCAAAATATTCAGAGGGATTTTGTGCGAAAGACAAATATCGCGTATAGATCTAGTGTAAACATGCGCTGCATGGCGCGATGCTTTACTCTTTATCCTAATTTTATTACATTATCGTGTCTTACAAAGGCTAAGGCTAGTTTCAATAAAATGAGCCAAATCCAGAAAAATAGAAACATCTCAATGACCACCAAAATGAAAGTTCTGAAATGCTATGTATGGTCAACCCTTCTATATGGCTGTGAATGCTGGACAATCACTAAAGGCAGTGAAGATAAAATAGAAGCAACTGAAATGTGGTTTCTTCGGAGACTGCTAAGAGTAGCGTGGAAGGAAAAGAAATCAAATGAGGTAGTGCTTGATGAAGCCCAGGTGGGACGCTCAATGTAAAAAAATAATCAGGAAACGACAAATGCAGTTTTGGGACACCTGAATAGACACAAGGGTCTTGAACATTTAGCTCTCACTGGCAAGATTGAAGGCAAACGAGGCAGGGGTAAGCCCAGAACAACATACTTAGGGAACCTAAACAAATGGGTGACAGGGAAAGATCAAGGAAACTCAGCTTTTTTGAGAGCATCCGAGCAAAAGAATGAATGGAGAGCCATGATCGCCGATGTCTGTCGCAGATTTGGCACTGGATGATGATGATCATGTCTGGAGACATGGCCGGCATCTGTGGTCTAGTAGTTATAATAAGCACTTTGCCGTACAACGCAGAGGACTTGGGGTCGATTTTCATGTAGGGGGAA